CAAGCTCCGGATGCCGGCGGCGGCACTAACAGATTGGAAAAAGGCTGCTTTTTTCAGTCCGGCCTTGTCTGCCGCCTTCCCGTGACACCCGCTCCTTTGATTCCTGTATACCTGCGGGGCCAACCCGAAATAAAGGCCCACTTAATCTCTCTTTCAACAGGCTGTAGGTTAGAGAGCGCGGCTCTGACGGGGAAAATGCCCGCAGTCCCGCAGAACCGGGGGCTGCAGCTTCCCGGGGAACACCGCTGCCTTAAGCGGCGATGGGCTCTTCTGTTCTCCCCTCCTTCACTGTAGTGACCTCTAGGCCAGAAGTTAGTATGGTCCAGACACCCGAGGAAGGCTCTGTGGTGTGAAGGACTCCAACTCCGGCTGCAGACAAATGCTCAAATCCCACCCCTGTCACTTAACCACCTGTCTGGCCTCGGGCAAGCCACAAAATTGCTCAATGTCCCAGTTTCTTCATCTGAAGTCAAAGGAGAGCAGTGCACAAGTAAAAAGGCTAAGGTTCAGCAGCAGCAGAGAGTTAAGAACTTCAGCCCTGGAGCGGACCCCTCACCTCCTGCTACCTACCAACTGTTACCTTGGAAAATTTTAGTTTGATTTTCAGACTCTCCCCAATGGCTTCCCATCTCACTAAGCATAAAAGTCAAAATCTTTATAGTGGCCTACAACCCCCCCCCCCCCCCGCCCTCGTCCTGTTCTCTACTACTTCTCTGACCTCATCTCCTACCATTCTCCCTCCTACTCCTACTCTGTCTATACTGGCCACCAGCAGGGCCTTTGCACATTGTGCCCTGTAAGGTTCTAGTTCTCTCAGATACCCACATGGTTCCTGCCCTCAGTGTCCCAATTCTCTGTTCAAATGTCATTTCATCAGAGAGGGCTTTCTTGGCCATCTGTTTAAAAGAGCAACAACACCACCTCCATCCACCACAGTAATCTACCTGCTTTCCTTCTAACTCTCTGTGAGGTCTCCTTGCTGCATTTTCTCCATAGCACTTAACACTATCTGGCATACTATGCATTTTGTTTATTTATTTACTATCTCCTCTCCCTACAGGTTTTTATCTGTTTTGTTCACTTGTATTTCCAATACCTAAAACAGTTACTGGTACATTAAAAAAAAAATTCAATGAATATTTGATGAATAAGTTAATCCATGTAAATTACTCTAAATGTGCTGGCCTGTATTAGCTGTTAACACTTATCAGTTATTAGGTACCTAAGATCTATTTTAAGAAGTCCTGGACCAATGGCTATAGGTGAATTATCTCAGTTAACTGTCAGAACAACTCATAAGGTCAATACTATCCTTATTACCCAGAGTTGGGAAGGTTAGGTATCATGTCCAAAGTCACATGGTAAGAAGTAGAGTCAGAACTGTGACCCAGATCTTTCAAATTCCAAGTTCATATGGTTTCTGAGAAGATTAAGTAAATTCATTTAGTTGCACAGGTGATTGGTACATATTGGTTTTCTTTATACTGAAGTTTGGAAGGTACAGAGACGGTGGGAGGATCCAGGATTACATCTCAAGAAATTCCTATGATAAAGGAAACAGCTGAGATTTATAGGCAAGCTCCAAAGTGCTTTCATCTCTAATTGGCAAACTTCTACAAGAGTAGAAAGTGTTAGTGGTTCCCATGCATTCATGTAGAAACGCTCAGAGTCAAAAATCGTGATTTCGCTGAGGTCATTCAGTGAGTGACAGCATGAATGACCCAAATGCCCTCCGTCCTAGTCTGGGACTGAAGCCCCTTGAAATCATGATATCCAGTCTCTCAATTCTTGGTGGTCTTTTCTTTGAGGGTAGAGGTCACTCTAAAAAGCAGGGAGTGGGACAGGATGGCCTCACATTTCTTGCCTTGTGCTTTCCAGGACTAAGGCCAGTTTTCTCCCATTACTGAGTTGCATTTTGTTTCGAAGCACCTGACAGAGAGACACTTAAAGCAAGATTACATTATTTTGGATTATTTTTGTTTATTTTAAGAACTATTCACGATATGTTTATTCTTTACAGTTCCCTGGCCCTTCATAGCTGTGAGGCACAGCTGAGAAAGAGCTAAAGAGGAGGAATGTGTAAGCAGAGGACTGGAGGGGATACAAGGCATACAAGGCAGCCTGGGAGCACAATGCATCTCTAGTACCTTCTTCCAGTAGAGGGCAGGGAGAGCTGGGGTCTGTGTGAGGAGTCATACTTGGGAAGTCTTTGAGAGCAAATGTGGAGGATGTTCTGGGAGTTACTAGGAACCATGTTTACCAGAGGAGCATCATTTAAAATTTTTACTACAAAAAGGTTCAAACATACACAAAGGAGGAGAACATAATTCTGTGAACCTCTGTATACTTACTTCAACAATATTGATTTTGTAACGTTGTTCCTTTCTTTCTCTTTATTTACCAAAATATTTAAAATTAAATATTTCACTTCACTCCATACTTAAGTATGTATCTCTAGAAAAGAATCTTTCTTTTTTTTTACATGACCCCAAAGCCATTTTTACATCTAGCAAAATCAACACTGATTCCTTGGCATCACAAATATCCCATCCATAATTAACTGTCCCCGACTGTGAAAATGTCTTTTTACAATTGGATTGTCCAAATCAGGAGCCAAACGAGGTCCTTATGTTCCATGTGGTGGTTGTCTTTTTCTGTCACCTCTTACCTTTTCCCCTCAGCCACTGAGAAGTTGAAAAAATTGGGCCAGATTTCCTTTAGAATATCCCACGTTCTGAATGTGTCTTCCTATTTCCTCACTGTGTAATTTAATTTGTTCTTCCATCCCCAGTATTTCCTGTTAAATGGAGATTAGCTCTGGAGTTTTGAATAGAATCACGTTCAGGGTTTTAGTTTGGCAAGAGCCCTTCAGAGGAGGAGCTGAGTGCTTCAGAATGCATCACAATGGGAGCTATACAGTGTGTGCTTGTGCTCCTTTTAGCAATGCTAAGATTCTCCAGGGGGTCAGGTGGTGACAATTCGATCCTTCCATTGTAAAGTTCTCCATCAACCATGATCCTTGTTTCATCCATTGAAGATTCTTGCTTTGATCAATTATTTCATGAAGGGTTGCAAGACAGCGATTTTTCTGATTCCATAGTCCTTCCATATTAGTTGAAATTTTTCTGTAAATAAGAACTTTTCTCCACCACTTACAGTTATTTGGCTATCCTGAAATATTGTTTATACAGGAGAGGCAGTATAAATGCTTAATTTTTTTTCTTTTTAATTGCCAGTTTTCAGGATAGGAAGTTGGGACAAGCATTATTTTTTAAAAATTTGGGGCTTAGAGCTGAATAGGGATGGATAGCCTGGATAGTGGGTGAGGAAAGGAGGGACTATTTTGGCAACTGTATCCAGCCTTCACTCACTCCTTCCAGGGTTTGGGGTGTGTAGGGGACAGACAGATACTATAGTGCTTGGTGTCTTGGCCCTTGGACAGCAATAGGGTGGGCATGAGGCAGGCCTAGTGTGCAGGGTGCTACAGGGGGTGGGAGGAAAGAGATGGGGAGGCAGAGAGAGAGGTAGGAAGTAAAAAAACAGCTAGACACAGAAGACTGGAAGAGAGAGAAAGACAGAAAGGGAAACAAATGAGAGATCATGAATGAAATACACCCAGGAGCAGAGTAGGACAGAAAAGTGGAGCGATGTCAGGTACATTAAAAGACAAAAAACTTAGATATGAAGACACAAATTGAGACAGGAAAGGGGGAAAGAAAAAGATGCATTTTTTAAATTTTAAATTAGTATACTTATTAGTATATTTTCCCCTTCTAATTTAAAATATACTTTGGAGGGAGAAGTATACTTTGGAGGGAAATGGAGGGAGAATTAGAGATATAGAGAGTGAAGAAAACACATGTCAAGACACAAGGCAGGTGAAAGCAGAATGCCCCAGTAATAGAAGAAAACAAATGGAGAGAATGACCTAAAAAGATAGAAGGAAGGATAAACTGAAAGGTGAACAGAGATAGAAAGGGGGAAAAAAATACAGCCCAAAGGGTCTCAGAGAAGGAGGCTGAGAAAGAGAAGATTGAAAAGACTAGTGTTAGAGAACTTGAGAAATGTAGAAGGGGGCTCAGCGGCTCTCAGTTTAGGATCCATTCCTGGGCAGATACTGGATTCTCACTTCCAGCTTTCTTTTGGAGTCTTTTTCAAACCCCTAGGCACACCCCCAGGGACAGGGGACTTATGCCTAGCTATGTGTGGATGGCATCATTGGGAACTTCAGTCAAGGGTTCCTAGCTTCCTTCACCTGCATGCCAGATGAGCACAGAGGTTGCAGATGGGATTAATCCTGGAAGATTGAGGTCAGGAGGCTGGGTGAGCACTCAGAGATCTGCAAGACAAGACATTCAGGCAGAGAGCGCCAGATTCCTAGAAGCAAAAGACCATGTGTGATGCCATAATATCCAAGGGAAGGGAGGAGCCAAAAACACTCTGCTCAGCCTCCTCTTCTGGTCCAAGAAGAACTGATCATCTTTGCCTGACTCAAGAGGAGAGCTAAGGGGTCCAGAGACTCTTGGATCAGTCAGAGATATGGGTGAAAGTCCAAGGGGCAAAAAAAAAAATCGCCCCTGGACAAAGGATTCCCTACCACCTCTAGAGGAAGAATCTATCTTATCTATGTGAACTGCAGAGAAACCAAGAAAGGTCTTCAGAAGAGGTTGAAAAGAGGGGGAAAATGTCCAATTTGCTCACCTTCAGGGGCCTTGGAAGAGGCTCTGAGCAGAAGAGTTTCCATTCCAAAAGTTGCAGAAGAGGAGTTTCTGGAACCAGCAGGAACATGCCCAGAAACTAATTTCAAAGCAGATACCTGCTCTCACCCTCAGGACTGAGGAGGAGGCCAGGGGCTCTGAGCAGCCTTCTGCCTGTACCTGCTGGGGGAGGGGTTTAGGGGAGCCCTCTCACTCCACCTGGTGCCTCTGCCTCCTGCCTGAGGAGGCAGCTACAGAAGTGCTCCGGCAGACTGACAGCCTCTCTAGGGAGCAACAGCCCACCTAGACTATCAGACAGTGCCCCTGAGAGGTGCGCTTTCCCGTGAAGCAGCAACTGCAGTGGCCAAAGGAGCCTGGAGGCCCCCAGGTAGACCCGTGGCCACAGCCACAGTTGTCACTGTAGTCCAAGCAGGAGCTGGGACAGGCAGATCGACCCTTGGAACAAGGGTAAATGGGGCAAGGTGAGGGATGGCAACAGGTCAAATGAGGACCAGAGCATGGGACACAGGAGCTATGGGGACATGTTGAGGGAGGACAGGCAGGGCAGGGAAGGCAGGTGCAAGTGCAGGGTGGGCCAGGGAGCCTGGGACAGGAGGGGCAGGTAGTTGTGTAAGAGGGATAGGCAGTGCAGGAGGAGGTGGGAGGAGGGCAGCCAGGGCAGGGACAGGCGCAGGCAGAGGAAGGACAGGATATACAAAGAGAGGCAGCTGGTGGGCTGTGCACAGAGGGCGCAGGAGGTTGTTGGTGGGTGGCCTTCTTGTTTCGAGGCCCCAAACGTAGGCCCAGAGAGAAGTCCATTCAGCTGCAGGAGCGGCCAAGCTGGGGGTTGGGTAAAGGGGAGGGCATGGGAAGATTAGAAGGGGCAGACTGAAGGGGGCAGAGGTGGGGGCAGGATTAAACCTAAGACACTGCTGAGCCTTGCTGAGCCTTCAGGGAGCTCAGACCTCCGCAATCAGCCCTCCCTTTCCAGGCCTGCCCAGCGATGCTCTCCTGTGGCCCTCCTCTCTGTTGAAAACGCTCCAACTGCACCAGCCCAGAACATGTTCTTCGAACATGACGTGCACTTTCATGCCTTCAGTCCTTTGTTCACGCTGTTCCTTTGGCTTGGAGTGCCTTTTCTCTTTTCTCTACCTGCCTAGGTCCTATAGTGTCTGAAGTCTTCCTCTTTGTTCAAAAAGTATTCCTTGAGTTCCAGGCACCTGACATCTGCCCGGGTAAGGACCCCAGCCTATGACTCTTCAGCCCTGGTGGCCAGAGCGGCTGCTTCAGTCTCCCAAGCAGTCCCCCAGGGGTACTTAGGGAAGCAGCAGCGGCAGCAGCAGTAGGAGTGGCAGCCGAAGCAACGCTCTGAGACTGAGTCAGAGATGCTGGTGGGAGGTGGCATTGGAGGGTTCTGGGTGACTCCAGGAGGGGCAAGTCCCAGGTGTAGGTATGGGGATGCCCAGCTGTCTCTGGGAGAGTGACAAGCAGCCTGAATAAGACAGCTACAGCTAAGTTTCCTCTCTTACGGAGCTCCCATAAAAGTGAGGAGTGACGTGAGATGGAGACTAAAACCAAACAGGTAAACAAAAAAAATACATTAGCTTATTTCAGAGCATGCAAATGGCAATGAAAAAAAAAAAAACCACCACCAGGGTGCTGTGAAAAAAATGTGACTCAGAGAGGTGGATTCATCAGACGGAGTGGCTAGACAGCCCCCAAATAGTCAGGTAGGACAGCCCCTAAGGGTGTAGGGGGAGATAAAGTCTGTCCAGCCCTAGCTGACCATAGGAGAGCTGCCCGAGGCAGAATGGAACTCAACTGTCTGGGCTATGGGGAAATACAAAGCTGAGAAGGAGATAAGCAGTGCTGGAGATCGCAATCTAAAATTGGGTGGTCAGGGAAAGTGCCATTGAGAAATGTCATTTTAGCAAAGACCTGAAGAAAGTGCCGGAGTGAGTCATGGAGACATCTAGTGGAAGAAAATCCCAGAGACGGGAGATAGCGAGAGCAAAGAGCAAAGAGGAGTCATGGCAGAGGTAGAGAGCAAGGCAGAGGCCTTGGGAGTCACAGTGGGGGCTTGGATTTTATTTCAAGAAAGAGGGAAAACCACTGACGGTTTTAGGCAAGAAAGTGTATGGGTCTTCTTGATCCTATGCCTGCTCCCGGTTAAAATGTTTTGCTTCCTGAGAAACTGGCACAATCATTTTGGAAAAATGTTTGGCCTTATCTGATAAAACTGATACTGCCTGTACATATACTTTTAGTTTTACAGCCTTGCAAATCTCTTGCGTGTGTGCACTGGGAAACAGGTACAAAAATGTTCTTAGCAGCATTACGATAGTCCAAACTGAAAACAATTCAAACATCCAATAGTAGAGTAAAAAAATATACTGGCTACTATGGCAAACAGTATGAAGGTTCCTCAAAAAGTAAAGATAGAACTACCATGTGACCCAGCAATCCCACTTCTGAGTATTTATGCAAAGAAATCCAAAATACTAATTTGAAAGGACATATGCACTCCTATGTTCATTACGGTAGGCAAGATGTGGAAGTAACCTTTATCTCCATTGATAAAAGGATGGATAAAAAAATATGTGGTATATATATTTTTATATATACTATATATAAATATATATTCTATATATACTATAGAATATTACTCAGGCATAAAAAATAATGAGATCTTACCATTTGTGACAACATGGATGGACCTAGAGGGTATTAGGCTAAGTGAAATAAGTCAGACAGAGAAGGACAAATGCCATATGATTTCACTTATATGTGCAATCTAAAAAACAAAATAATTACACAAAGCAGAAGCAAACTCAGATACAGAAAACAAACTAAAGGTTGCTAGATGTGAGTGGGGTTGGGGGACTGGGTGAAAAAGAAGAAGGGATTAAGAAGTACAATTTGGTAGTCACAAAATAGTCACAAGGACATAAGTACAGCATAGGGAATACAGTCGATAATACTGTGATAACTATGTATGGTGCCAGGTGGGTACTGGACTTATCAGGGGGACCACTTTGTAAGTTACATAAATGTCTAATCGCTATGTCCTACACCTAAAATTAATATAATAATTAATGTCAACTGTAATCAAAAATTTAAAAATAAATAAATAAGTAGATCGTGGACTCGTAATGCAACTGAATGTTATGCAACAATGCAAAAGAAAATTACATGCAATAACTTGGGTATATCTCACGAACAAAATAAGACACAAAAGAGTAATACAATACCATTCTATCTATATAAACCTCAAAAATAAGTAAAGTTACACAATATTGTTTAGAGAGGTATATACAGATGCTAAAACTATAAAGAAAGGCAAGGAAATAATGATCACAAAAGTTAGGATGATGGTTACTTCTTAGGGGAGGGAAGGAATTATGGAAGGGACACATGGGAGCTTCTGAGGTATAGGAAATACCCTTTCTTGGGTAGCAGTTGAACAGGTATTTATTTTATTCCAATTTATTCTGTACACTGTTCATAATATATTTATATACTCTTTCAGAAAGAGAAAATAAAAGCACCGCTTCCTCTTCTGCTCCATGCCATGTCATTCAAATCGTTATGTTAAAGTTAGATATTCCTAGTCCGTATACCTACCCTTCCCACTTGATCTTGAGGATAGAGACTTTTCCTGTATTTCTGGCATCTGTCATTGCCTGGTATGTAGCAGATGCTCAATAACTGCTGAATTGGATCGAGTTGAATTCCCCCAAATCTCTCATCCGATGGAGAGGCGAGCACCTACAGAAGAGGAGGAAGTCTGCTGTGGTGAAGGAAACACAGGATCCCTAAGACCTGGGTTCCCATCTTAGCTCTGCCACTTCCTAGCTGTGAGATATTGAACAAGTCACTTAACCTCTCTGATTCTCAGCTCCCTCTTCTATGAAGTGGATATGATAATTGCTACCTTTCTGGACTGCTGCATGGTTTAAGCGAATACTGCACATGCCCAGCACAATGCCTGGAACACTTAGGCGCTCAACAAAGGACAGCTTCCTAACCCTCTCCCCGCAACATCACATCTTTTCTTCAAAAGAGTCCACTAGAAGGGGCACACAAATATCAAAAATGATCCCAGAGTGTGGGCCAACATCCTCGGGGCCCTTGGGGCTAAGGCGTAGATGTAGTCTGGTCCAGAGCTGGCAGATAGGGCAATCTGATTGAAGCCGAACAGATCCCAGGCAGCTGGTGGGAGCTTGCAAGGTTGGTAAGACTAGGGTCTGGGAATTTCCATTTGGGGAAGTCCCAGTTATGGGTGCAGGGGTGCCAGACTGGCCCCACCCAACACCCTGGCCTCAGGAGATGTGGGCACAGGGAGGAAAGTGGGTCAGAGCAGGGCTGGAACTTAACCCCATTGGTCCCATGACCTCTTTGCCAGTTATGGAGGAGGCACAGCCACAAAGAAGCCTGTTCCCTCCTCCAAAGAGCCCTCAATTGCTTTTCTTCAGAAAGGAAGAACTTTGGAACCTTGGCATCTGAGCAGAAGCAACTGGAACACCAGCCCCCAGGAGACAGAGGAAAGATAATTCCCTAATCCCTGGATGGAGGTTCTATACAAAATAGACTGTTACACCCACCCACATGGTGACTGGCACACACCTGGAGTGCTCACCTCACTCTCCAGGCAACTATGGAGGCAAATATGCTCCTCATTCCAGGAGGAGAACAGGTTAGGGCTGGATCAGAGAGGGGGGTGGGGTACATGGTAGAACAGCTCAGTGGAGCCTCTGGTAAGACTCCAGCTGGGCAAACTCACCCTGAGGGCTTTGCCAACAACGTGGGGCCTTGTTTTCTGTGTATAATCTCAGGCCTAAACCTAGGGATTCCTTTTCCTTATCTGTGTCTCTGTTTCTGTTTCTGTTTCTGGAGGAGGAGATGAAAGGATGGATGGAACCAGGGCAGGGTCACCAGGTGTTCCAGGGTCCTCCTTTAACCATTAGGAGGTGCTTTGGCCAACCCTCATTTGTAGCATACCAAAGCAAGGTGGGGAGCAGGAATGAAGGGTCCCTTCTCCTTCTGGGGCAGCAGGATGGCTGGGAGCCAGGACCCCAATTCCAGGGCCTTTGTACATACTCTTCTGCTGCCCTCTCTTCTCTCCTCTCTCCCTCTCACTCTTTCCCAGAAACGTTTTCTGATCTCTTTGGCTGGGGGAAAATTCCTGTTACTGTCCATTCTCATAGTACCTTATACTTCTCCATGCTGGTTATCACCTGCAATTTTGTGGATTATTTGGTTGACATCTGACTCCTCCCCCAGCCTAAGAGTATGCAAGGGCAGGGAAGATAGGTTTGCAAGGGCAGGGACCAAGGGCATTGGTATTCCTGGGCTTATACAGTGCTTGTCATACAGTGGATACTTAATGAAGATTTGTTGAATTCACGAAAGGTGCATGTTTGGGGGAGTAAAGGGAGAAGTTTCTAGAGCTGTTTAGTTCTTAAAATCCTGTGTTCCGCAATCAAGGCCTTCTTCTATGTGGGATCTGGGCAGCACTGAGGCTGGTAAGGGCCATCCACGCACAAACTCATTCACCAGCAGAGCCAACAAACTGGCAAGCAGCAGATTAGACTTGGTACAAGAGGTAACACTGAGCAAGTACATCAGCCATGGCACAAAGCAGGCCTTGGGGAGGAGCAGGAAGAAGGGGAGAGGAAGGGAAAGGAGAAGACATGTTATACAAAACATGTTTTCATCACACTCTCCCTGAGTGCCCTGGTCTCCAAGCCCCAGTGGCACTTCCATGCCTTAATGATGTCCTTGGGGGTTGTAACAGAGCTCCCCCAACTTCATCGGCT